TCGCAGTCACTATAATTCTGAACTGGCAGCATAATTTTCAGAGGCCCCTGTCTGGAGCTAGGACCTTACTAATTTCTATGACCAAGGTCTCTTGTTTTTTCATCCGATCTTTTGTTTGTTTCTGTGAATGCTCCCTCATATTTCTCTTGGGAATGGCCCTACTTTCAAAATTCAAGTCAACAGGCTATGAATTACCACTTATTGCAGTCTTTGTCCACTGTCACTCAGCCTCAGGGCCTACAGTGGTGGGTCCCTAGGAGAAGAACCCTCTTGTAGCTAGTTTGAATAAGGGCCCAAGAGGAACAAGCAAAGACAACTTTATTGCTTGGTTTTTCTGCAGTTTAAAACCGATTTTAAATTACTCAAATCAGCATATTTATTTTTCTAAACTAGTGAGAGAGGCTGGGATATAAAGAGAAAGGTAATTTTGAGGCCGCTTTTCACTGAAGACGTGTTAGTTTAGCCACCTGATATTTCAAAACTGTTAAGAAGCCACAACTGTACACATAGATAGAAGTTAGGTCATCAGAGTTGTGGGATTTTTTTTTTTTTTAATGTTGTTTTTGGAGCCGCCTGGTGGCAGCCAAAACCAACTGAGGCTGGAAGGAGCCTGAGAGATCATGTGCAGGGAAGAAAGCAAGGTACGTACTTGGAACCAGGCCGACTTAGGCTCTAATGCCAGCTCCACCCCTGAGCGGCTCTGTCACTTTTGAGAAAGTTATTTAATTTCTGAGCCTCAGTTTCTTTATTAGTGCAGTGGGACTAATAAGTACCTCAAGTCCCTGTCACATATAATAAGCATTCAGTAAATTGTTGCTCTAATTATTATATAAACATTTTGCAGATGTAGACACTCAGACTCAAAGTTGCTGAATGACTTGCTCACAGTCAACAACTGGCTTGGAATGAACTTGTGGTTAATGTTTACTGGGTGCCTGCTATGTGCCAGGCACTCTTCTAAGTGATACACACTTAATACTTACGTTGGGACTATCATCCCATTTTAGAGGTGTGAAAACTGAGGCATCAAGAAGTTACTAAAGTAACTTCAAGTTCACACAAGTTTCAAGTAGCAGAGCCAAGATTTCAAACACAGCAGGCTAACTCCAGAGCCACGTTGTCTCTAGGTTGGTGCTGTCTCAAAAATGAGAAGCTAATTTGTTTGAATAAGCTCTTTCAGACTAGCAGTTCCTTTTCGAAGTTCTCAAACTAGAATGCTCTTCCCCATAAGTCTTCAATTCAGCCACCTTTCTTGGCCCACGGAACATTTCTATTCATGCAATAATAGGCAAAACATTGATGATAAAATGTTAAGTAACAAAGCAGGATACAAAAGTGTGCGATCACTAGACTGACTAATGATAAAAAGTTTCTTATGTGTAGGATAAAAGCCAGAGGAAAATGCACAATATACTAAAAAATGGTTACAAGAAGACATGGAATAATAGCTATTTTCCTTATTTTCTGTAAGGTGTTTTCATTCATATTATAATGAAAAGGACATTTTTTAAAGGGAGGTGGAGGTATTTTGAGCCAGGAGAACAGGGACAAAGCTGCCTTCTTGAAATGCTGGGGCCCAGACAGACACTTAGTTTCTTTTCTCCACTGGGGTAAGACTGCCCAGCTGAGGTTGGTTACGCGGAAAGCTTCCAGGTGCCCCGAAGAAGAGCAGCGCTGCCCTCCCTAGCCTTCTTTGCTAAATTCAGAGCTGTATTTGTAAATTTGTCCTCTTAGGAATTTTCACTTTACTTTTATCATTGCCCTAGAGTTGTGCATATCAAAAAGTCCGTGGTGGTGAGAAATGAAGTCTGTTCTGCTTTGCCTTTTAGCTCCACAAAGAACCAGCCCCATGGAGACCCTGCGCTTTTTGGTGGGAGCCAAGGTCAAGAGTAGCAGGGAATGTGTAGGGACAGCCCCTGGGTCATTGGGAGGACAGGCAAGACCCCATCCTGTTTCCTTCCCGTGGGGCTTTAACAGGTGTTTCATGTAAATACCAACAGCGAGTCAGGAGAGGTGAGGATGAGCTCCTCCCTTGCCTGGCTGGGCTCTTGCATGTTGCACACCCAAGGCTGGCTATCCTCGTAGGAGACATGGGACATCTGGAGGCAGCCTCTGACTGCAGGAAACCAAATGAAGATTGACTTCTGCTGCCACGTGGAAAGCTCCTCTGGAGACATCTTTTCCTATGACAGAGTTGTATATGTTCCCAGATAAGCTGGCTTTCATCCCGTGGGTTTGGAGCTGTAGCCAAAAGAAGCAGTTTGCAGCTGGGAACCCACAGCTGCCCAGCCTCAGTAGCCTCAGCAATGCTTCCTGCCTTGTAGCTGCCACTTCTCTGGACTGGGCCCCAGTGACTTACCTTCATGTGGCATCACAATTGGGGGACAAGGTGCTCATTCAGGACAAGCAAGTGTTCCCATGGGAGTCGCTCCCCTTCTCCCCAGAGCACCAGCTTCCTAGCTGGTGCAGGGCCTGCGTCCAGCCCTGTGCTCTGGAGAACTGGGATTAGTCTCTCATTTGGTTCAACAGACAGAAATTTACTTGAAGCCAATATCACCTCCATAATTTAAGAAAAATGGGAAAAGGATTTGAAAATACCTTTTTTCCTTCCTAGCTTATATGTCGAGAACCTTTATTTACATCAGATCTTGTGATAGTTCATCTTTTGGGATATAACTGTCACACCACTATAGGTCAAGCAAACTACACAGCCCACTTTTCTTCTAATTTCTCTTACATGGAACGTAAAGCTGAATTTGAATTCTCATAGTAGAGCTCCAGCCTTGACGATTTGGCCATGTTGCTTTCCAGAAGCGTTTCAGGAAGACTCATTATGCAAATGACACTTCCTGTTTACCCGATTTTAGTATTTAATGGGTGAGGAGGATAGATTGTGACCACAAAAAGTGTTCAAATGTCATTAATTTGAATCCACATCCATAGTACTACACAGTCATAGTAGCATGCCAAACAACTGTAGCAGTCTAATTTGCACCTAAAGAATTGAACCTGGAGTCTCATCAGCTACAGATTTTAACTACATTTACAGCTAAAGATGATCGTTTTGAAAGTGAAATGTCAGAAATCTGAAGTTATGGATTCAAGGTTGATGCTCGTTAGAAAAAGAAGTGTCATCTGGCAAGGTGCTTTTCACCATCCCTGGGTGGTCTCATCCACACTAAGGTTTCTGTCATCCCCTTTGTGTTGACAACTCCTAAGTCTGTGCCTCTGGTGGAGACCATGCTCTTGAACTCCAAAGCCTTATATTCAGCTACCTCCTAGACATCTACAGATGTGTCACTTGCAGATTTTCCAGATTCATCCTGTCCAAAATGCCCAGCCTGCCCCTTCTGCAGTTTTCCTTTTCCACTAAACAGTCCCACCATCCTCCCAGTTGCAAACAGTAAACCTGGGCCATCCTTAACTTTTCTCTCCCCTTAACTTCTGGCTGCCCACTTAGTCCCCCTCGCATACTCACATGACCGTCCATCTGAATCTTGAGCCATACCAAATGTGCCACATTCTCACTCAACTGCAGGTTTCCAGAGTTCCTTCTTCCCCTTCCTCTATTCTTGATCATCTCAGACTCAAGATTAAAGTCATTTCTTTCAGGAGTCCTTCCCTGACTTCTGCCTGCATAGATCTGAGGAACACCCAGTACTTCTCCTTTCATGGCATATATCACACTGGGTTGTTACACTTGCCATGGGCAGGCCTTGTTCTCTGCTGTCTTCCCTGCACTTAGCATATACCCGATGCATACTAGGTGATAATAAATATTTGTAGAATAGTTGACATTGACTGAGTACCTTGTGACAAGTGCCTTGCCAGGTAGGTTGCCTGCATTATCTCATTCCAAGAATAGGACCAGGAGAGACACCAGGTTGGCTTCAACTAGGATGAGAGTGATAGAGCGAAGTAGGCTGATTCAAGCCACATTTGCAGCTAAAGTCAACAGGGACTTGCTGGTAGTTTGGATGAGGGGTTGGGTATGGAGTGGGGTGGGGGTGGTAGAGCTCTAGAAGTCAAGGGTAACTGCTAGGTTTGGGGCCTGAATAACTGTGGATGCTGCTGCTGCTTGTAATTGACAAGGGATGAAGGATAGTGCATAAGTAAGATTGTGGGGGAAAATTAAAAGTTCTTTTTGATATGTGTTAGGTTGATATACCCATCAAGTAACCAAGGAGTCATGGACATATAAATCTGGAACTCTGGAATAAGAACAGACAAGGCTGGAGTTCCTCGTTTAGAACTCACCAGAACTCCCATGAGGTGGAACTACAGACAACTAAAGTAGTGTAACTTCCTAGTTCATAAAGGGCATAAGCAGCAGAGCCAGCATTGAACCCAGGCACACTGACTACAGCACCAACTGCTTGCTACTACACAGTGAATGGTTTCCAGTTCTAATCACTGTACACCTTAATTTTCTACAGTGTAAATGTCTTCATGCCTGCTGTAGGAATTGTTTGAAGGTCAAAGCATGCTGTACTTACAGATTTTAAATGTAATTAGGTATGGTTATAGTGATATACAATAAGTACAGAGCACGAGAAGAAATGAGCCAGGAACAGATGAGGGCCTGGCATAATTGTGATCACCAAGTACTATTGCTGGGTTCATTTGGCGACTTCTGGGTGGTTGAATGTCATATAGCAAGACTGTTAATACCTAATTTTTGCTCCTCTACTTACAGAAAAGCAATATTGCAGTTTGAAATACATTACTCAGATTTATCCCTTACAAAAGCACAGATATGAAAAAGAACCAACTCCTTCACTTTTGTTTCACATTTTAAGACACAGGTTGTGTTTGTGTACTCATTCATAATGTTTTGTAAGTAACAGATACTGCATTTTTTGCGTTTGAGTCCTACAGGAAGAGAACAGCTATAGCTGAAGGCTAAGACATTTGTTTCTTCTAAGGGTGTTTGTGTGTGAACATATGTGTATGTGAACTTTTAAAAGCTATGGAGAGAGATGCTGATTTGAAATAACCTCTTTTTTCTGTTTTATTTTAGGGAATGATTGACTCTTCTCACTTAAGTTGACTAAACACCTTGTGCACTTTACTCTCCTGTCGGTGCCATCAGGCTGACTGAAGACAGGGTTTTGAAATCTCAGCTATAAAGATAGCCAGTCAAAGTCTCAATCTTGCCTTAACAATGTTCCAGAGACTGAATAAAATGTTTGTGGGTGAAGTCAATACTGCTTCCAACCAAGAACCAGAATTTAGTGAGAAAGAAGATGATGAATGGATTCTTGTTGACTTCATAGGTAAAGTATTCTCTGCCATTAACCATCACAGCAAAAGTGGAAACTCTTGCATCTTGGTTTTTACATAAGTAAATCAGTAACTTTGAAGGTTTTTAAGCCTTAAAAGTAAATAAACAAGAATTTGTCTAAAAAAAATTGCACGAAATAGCTTGTGAAATTGATTGACATCAGATTTCCCAGTTCTGCAACTCTTACACCCTGATCAAATCAGGGCACTTTAATAGAAAACTCTCATACTAGACACACAGTAACTGATAGGACTCTATATGTTTACTCAGTAGAGTGGAAACAGTCTGAAAACGATTCCTGTAAAGCCACTATAATCTGTTCCATACAGTGATAACTCCACACACATACAATGCTCAGAACTTATTTTATAATTATTATAAGTGAATATAAATAGTTTTGTTTCTGACCTAAATAAAGGGAAGAATGTTCAGCATCAGCTAATAGTAGCGTCTCTTCTTTTTCTGTGCTCTGAATGTGATATTCATCCTCCTGTGGGACATCAACAACTCACGTGGACTCTGATCTAGACACTTGTACTGGTTTGTCAGCAGCAGAAGATGAGGAAGAAGACATCAGTGAAGAGTCACCTACCGAGCATCCTTCAGTCTTTTCCTGTTTACCTGCATCTCTTGAGTGCTTGGCTGATACAAGTGATTCTTGCTTCCTTCAGTTTGAATCCTGCCCAATGGAGGAGAGCTGGTTTATCACCCCTCCCCCGTGTTTTACTGCAGGTGGATTAACCACTATCAAGGTGGAAACTAGTCCTATGGAAAACCTTCTCATCGAACACCCCAGCATGTCTGTCTATGCCGTGCATAACTCCTGCCCTGGTCTCAATGAGGTCAGCTGTGGGACTGACGAATTTCATAACCCTAGTAGTCCTAGGTACGTCATAAGTATCTTACTCTCTCCACAGGCAGTCTGTTTAGCATGCATTTTATTTATTTCTACTATAATTCCAAGCTAAGATTGTAGAAGATGCAAAAGTAATCTTGTTAGAGATTTATGAAAGTATATGCATAGTGCACAAGGCAGTTGATGGTATAAAAAAAATTGTTCATTTTAGATTTTAAAAAAAGTTAGTTCTGTATCCTCTTAATCTGTTTTATTGTCTTCAAAGCACTTGTTAACATTTTACCTCTGTGTATATATATATAAATACACATATATTTGTTATTTTGAAGAACCTTTTAAAACCCTTTAAATGCTGAGTGATTTCAAATGGTAAACACTTAAGGGAAGAGGATTTTTGTAGGAAAAAATGACATTCAAATATAAGATACTGACTGCGAAAAAAAAGAAAAAAAAGAATTGTAGCACACTCCAGTTATATAATGGAGAGCCATCTCATTTATAATATTCTGCTACTGTATGGGAAGGAAAAATTGGCATTTCTGTGAAGTATCTTAGAATATAAACTCTGGCACTTTACAGACTAGATTATTTGAGGGTATCAAATTCGACAAGAATAGTATGTCTTAAAATAAAACTTGTGTTTTCTTCCACGTAGTCCTAGCTAGGTCACATCAAATGGCACTTAACCTTGAAAATCTGAGAAATCTTAGGCATGAAGTAAATGGAAGTTTTACCAAAACATTTTTCTCAAAGAGTTGTTTTCTGCCTTACAGAGGAAAGGTTTCGTACTCAAACAAATATCTTGTTGTGTATAGGGATCCCAACTAGTCTCAGGGGCTCTTGTTTCAATGGCAAATGGGTTTAGGGCCTGGAAAAGTTCAGGGAAAGTGCCTGATCTGTGAAGTTTGATATGTTCCTAAGCATATTTATAGACATTCTGTAGCCTTTATCCAGGGAACGTATTCAGGATTGCTCCCACCCGCTAAAACAAAGCCCATGGCGGTGTTAATTAGCTCAAAGTCTGGCTAGTCCCTGATGCACGTTAGTGGAAGGTTCCTCATGGTGTTCAAGTATTGGGTTGTTGAAAAGTCATGACGCAGTTTTGCAATGAAAAACAGAGAAAAAATACGTCATGACTTTTCCAACAACACAATATTTTGGGGATGCTGGCACTGCCTTAATTCCCTTAATACCTGTCAAGGATACAGGTGAATTCGATTCTATGGCGTGGTTCAGAATATTCCTGTGGTTAGTGCTGTCGTCTAAAGGGCATCTTTTTGGATTGTCCGGGCTCTGACTCTATTAACTAGACCATTGTATCTTCTGCTATTTCCTGTTTGCCAAATATAAACAAAGCCCAGGCAGCTCATTAATTTGTTAACTTTACCAGAATTTGCTGCACTTTCAAATGTCAGTATTGTAGATTATCTTGAATGAAGATAAACATATGCTTGTGCCAAATTGAAAAACAATTTCCTTATATAGTTACCCAGGCTTTCTAGTAGGTAAGATCTTTGATGGGAAATGTTTAACTGGCACTTTTTTCAGCATTGTAAGTATATCAAGAGGCATTCCAACAAAAATTTACAATATAATTTTTTGGAGGTGATATTGATTAAATTGCTTTATAGTTGATTCAGATCAGTTTTTTCAGTTCCTAAAAGTTCTTCCTGATTCTGAGCTCACCTCTGAGGAATTCCATTCAAGAATTTAGCGTGATTAAGAGTCACTTTATTTATTTATGTATGTATGTATGTCTGTATTTATTTATTTAGCTGAGCCATCCTGCTACCTGTTGGCAGCTCAGCGGCAGCTCAGCTCGGGCTGGGAATCGAACCAGCGACCCTGTTGCTCAGAGCTTTCACTCTTGAGCGAGCTCTTAACCAACTGAGCCATTCAGCCGGCCCTAATAGTCACTTTAAACTTACTGGTGTTTGTATATTTTTCAGTAAAGTATGTGTGTGTGTGTGTGTACACAGTGAAGTATGTATACACACACATACTTCACTGTATACACACACACACACACACACACACACACATACATATTCAGCAGCTTTGTAAATAACATTAGAGAAGCAGTACATATGCATTGCAGAAAATTAGGAAATGAAAATATGCAAAAATTTAAGATGACATTCTCACGACCCAGAGCTGAATACTGTTAAGATCATAGGGCATATTCTTCCACGTTGTTTTTTCTGCGTGTGCCTGTGCACATGTGTGCACATAGCTGCACGCATACCATTTTTAACCTAAACCGGATCAAGCTGCATATATTATTTTATAATCAACTTCTTTAGGCGATGAGCTCCACTTTTTTTTCTACTTCTTTTTTTTAGTAAAATTTCACTTCATCTGCTAAACCATACTCAGGTTTCCTCACTGAAGCCCAGAATATCTCATCTAGTTTGTTCAAACCAGCATCCAGTCCAGGACCTTGCACTACATCTGGTTGTGTGTTTGCAGTTTTGTTGCAGTGAGAATGTCATTTTTTATATCTTGTTTGTTCTTGTATGTTTTATGTTTTGATATATAAGGTAGTTAAATATCTACTTTTCCATCTATCACAGATCAAAAGAACACATTAACTTTATATGAATTCTTTCTGAACATAAGAAAGTACTGCACATTATTACAGTTTAATAATAACTGAAAAAATTTTTAACATCCTTATTTTTGGATTTGAAATTCTTGTAAGTAAGGCCCACTAAATAATGACAGAAATTAGGTGTTATCCAGATTAGGAGAACAGCTATGTAGTAAATATCTGTATTTTCTAAGCAGGAAATAAATCATGTCTTTCAAAAGTTAGATCATTTCCATTCTGTCTATCCTTGGAGATATTACCACAAAAAAAGTACAGTACTTCATAATTACAAATGAGCTTCAGAGTGTGCGTTTTATTGCATTTTAGCCTTTATAAATATTGTTTGTGAAAGTTTATATACTATCATAATCTTAAATAATACATGTGCCTTTAATGACCCATAGTAAACCAGTTAAAAATAAAGTTGACCACATCCTAACAGTAAAATTAAAGAGCTTTTTAAATCTTACTAGTGATTTAATAGTTCACCATTTAACATTTGTAGGGCCAGGAAAAGCTGCTTATAAGACTCACTGGCACAGAGTAAGTATATTCCCTTTGAGACTGTGTGATATGTGTTCTCAGTCTGAGCAAGGAGGCTAAGGACTCAGGGTGCCCACCTTTTAAAAACCACTGTGTGTCTCTATTTTAACTTCTCTTTATTAGTGTCTTAATATAACCTGTTTTGATTTTACTATTTAAAAAAATATATTAAAGAATAGTGTTTTTTTCTCTAGTGATTATAGGCAGAATATATAACTGCCCTCCCTGTGTAAAATAACCCTTAAGAATCTTAAAACTCTTCATGTTACATGTTAATATAGTTTAGAGCTATCCTATTTGATTAGCTTTTAAGATAGAAAACTTAATAACCATATAGTTTGTAGCCATATTTTAAGATTATTTGTTCTCCAAGGATCTTTATAACATTGCTATGCAAATGCTTTTCCAAAATGTGCCCTGTTGTGATATAAATAATAAGCAGGTAGCTTCTTACTAGAAAAGTGTTAAATGAGTAAAATTTCCATATGCATATTTCTGTTAAATACAGATGTAAACCTTGTTTCCTAGAACAAGATAGCAAATATCTGTGAAGGTGCTGTTGGCACAGGACACCATTATTCATCCTGAGTCATAACCATGGTCTTTGGAGTAAGATCTGTGTTAGAATCCTGGTTGAGTCAGTTAATAATTGTGACCCTACCATCTCTGAGCCTTAGCTTTCTGATCAGTAAAACTTCCTTTTAAGATTATGGTGAGAATTAAAATACATAATATTTGCGAAACACTTAGCAAATGCAGATACTCAGTAAATGTTATTTTCCCTCCCAGAAAGCATATATAAATGTGTTTACTTTGTAATTGAAATTTACTCTAAGTGTAAAGCATTTTAAAAAAATAGTTTACTTATTTCTATTAAAATTTGGCTTCTCCTTTCTACCATTATCAGTCAGTGTGGTCACAAAATATAAACTTGTTTGTCAGCCATGAGACACTTAAGCTCTCATTCAACCATAAACAAATTAGTGTGGCAAGTTGAATTGATAAGTAACTTTTTCAATTTCATTAATAACATGCTCTGTTATTTAATACATCCCCATTGTTTTCTGTTTCAGAATGGAAGCTCAAAATGAAATGGGGCAGCACATTCACTGCTATGTTGCAGCTGTTGCTGCTCATACCACTTTTCTGGAACAACCCAAGAGCTTTCGCCCTTCCCAATGGATAAAAGAACATAGTGAAAGACAGTCTCTGAACAGAAATAACCTTCGTCGCCAAAATCTTACCAGGGATTGCCACTCGCGGCAAGTCAAGCACAATGGCTGGGCTGTCCATCAGCCCTGCCCACGTCAGTACAATTACTAAGAATTTCAAGTTTGATTGGTTGGTTTCTCTTGGTTTGTGCATGTGTGTGGATGTGTGTGTTTGAATGATGAAGATGCTGTCTCTTTACAGCCAACTGATGACCAATCACATAGTTTTACCAGTGTGTTTAGACACTATCTTGAAAACCAGATTTACATGCCGTGTATCACATAATGCCTTGCTCTTAACATTTACTATTTTGTAAATTTTTTCAGAATATTTTTGGAGACATATCAATACGATTACAGTGTTTGGTGTTTGGGGATGTCTTTAAATCTATTGAGGTATACATGAGTTAGCATTTTAAAGACATTTCTTCCCAAGTACAAGAATAGACATCTTTCAATTTCATTTTATTTTGTATTACTTAATCAGTCTTTTGAGTAAGCAAAAATTCATTCTCAGGGTCAGCCATACACTTTATTGACCAGTACTTGATAATCTTTTCTGTATATAACGAATACATTTTTACACACTAACATGAGCATTAACAGGTTATATATAGTTGCCATGGATATAATGGAATTATGGCTGAACTTTCTTTTGAAAGAAAACTTGATATATTTCTGTGTATGTAGGGTTTTTTTCCAGATTAGCCATGCAGTTCATTTTGGAATTCAGGTACACTAAGTGTCAGCAGTTCCAATATGACTGTGTGACATGGTACAGACATTACAGGTATGGGACAAAAACACTTGTCTCACTTGCAGAGGGATTAAATTAGACCTGTGAAATTGTATTTGGAAAAATGTATGTTCATAACTAACCCATTAGTCCACTCTTTGTTTGGATTCTTTCCTGCCACCTGTGCCCACTCACCACCTCACATCAGCTATAAATTCAGAAGCACTTGTCCAGGCACTTGAGTGACTTCATATTTCTATCTGCCCCAGGAAAAAGTGATAGGTTTTGTATTTCTAATATAGTGATAAATCCTCTGCCATGGAGCCTGTCCTGCTAAGTGGCAAGCAAGGATGAGGGGGATTCCTGGTGATATCTCTTCATGGTGTCTAAATGAAGAGTGACTGGTTGGCTTCCTTGACTTTTCATTTTTTGTTTTATGTTGGGTTTCAGACAGAATCTTTAACCACTTTGACTTCATTTCCTCCACCAACAGGAGAGCAGTAATAATTAACTTTCTAACAGTTGTTGGGAGGATTGTATCCTGATTTGAAGTGGGGCCATCCAGAACTGAACCTTGTGTGAAATTCCAAAGGCCTCCCTACTGAATCCAGTGATTGGGGTGGGGCCTGTGGCAATTTTTCTGCCACAACTGTTTTTCAGAATGTTAGTGCTAATGAGGCCAGGGTGCAGGGTTCAGTGTACACGGAGGCCAGTTAACTCAACACAGAGAAAATCTATATCTTACATCTAGCCAGTCACTTTACTTTTTAGCAGTTGTGATGGGTTTGGCTGAGCCATCCACACTCACACCAATTTCCTCTGAAATTTAGTTATTTTATAAATTTATAATCCAAGGCACATGTACTGACAGAACAGTAGTATCACCTTCATAATCAAAGTCTATTTTTCCATCTCCTCTGCAACTCTTAATAAGTTACACATCTTTACAATGTTTCAAGGGAAAAAGCAACATATAGTTATGTGAAGTATTATTATTTTTCTCAGTAACCCTGTAGCAGCTTGATGCAGGGAACTATGGGAGACTTTTTAAAAAATGAAGAGCTGTGCTCTTTTCTGACTAGACTGGGATGTTTGGAGTCAGAAGAGGTCAAATAGCGTAGTTAGAAGGTGGTGTTAGATTGTTCTTCCACTGGCGTTGATGAAATGCCAGGAATGTCTCTTTAGAACAAGAGTTTAGATCCCCCTTCTCTTATTCCCTCTCCATTTCAACCACCCCTTTATTTATTTGTTTTCTAATTAGGGGCCAAGTCTGTAAAATTTTGTCAAAGAGAGCTAGAAGTTGTTTTGTTACTATTTGTGTTTACCCGAGTTGGGAGATAAGGTAGAGTTTTCATGAAGGTGTGTATGTTTTTTACATCACGTCTGTTATAGGGCCATATTTTGGTAACTTGAAAATAGACCAGCTAAATGTTTTCTGGATATAAGCCTCTGAATACATGGGGGTCTCTTTTTTTATATATTAAATGGAAGCTGTTAGTACCTCACAAGCTACAGAAGTTCAGCCATGAGAGTTTGTTCGGCAGCATAAACCGATTTCTACATAAAACTGCAGTGGTCCTTTTTTTTTTTTTTCCAGTTTTTCTGATACCTTAAATGCATTTATATTTCTTATCAGTTATTACCTTTTTGTTTTCCTTATCTGGGCCTATTTTTTTATGCTTTGTACCTGGAAGACAAATAGATTTGTCTTTGGGATGCTTTTTCAGGGTAAGGGCTACTACACCATCTGTGATATCATACTGTGGTTTCTGTCTAAAACTGGCACATGTAAGAATTGAAGAAAGTGGTTACATAATTCAGTTGAAGTTCTTGGTCATTAGATGTTTGTTAGGCATCTACTATGTGCAAAATACAAGACCAATAATGACACAGAATGATGTGACCTGTTAAGTGTTCTTTGAAACACGGCCAAAATGCAATTAATTATAAGTTAATTATTTTTGCTGTTGTAAATATTAGTGGTTTACAGTGTGCTTTAGTGCATATTCCTTAAACATTCAAGCAATGAGAAATAAGACCCTTCTGCATTTAGTGCTCTGTTTCTAAACTGATAATATAGAATGTTACTTGGAAAAAGTCTGGACTATGTGATGCAAACAAGCAGTGCTCATGATTGAGTTTCTTAGTTTTTATAATGCACCATGTTTCTCAGAGTTTGTGTTTTTGTTAATAAAACATTTTATAATGTATGTTCCATGTTTATTACTTTTTCTTCCTCAACTAAATTATGCACTGCACTGTAAGTTGAAGATTAACCATTCATTATTTATCTTCTGTGGCAATGCATTTATATGGTTGGTTGGGTGGGGGACTTTTTACAGAAGTTGCAAAGTGATTGGATTTTTGACTTCCTATTCCAGGGAGCTTTTTTTAGATTAATTTTAGGTTCATTTTTCCAGTTCCCATGCAAACTGTTCCTGTTTACATACCTTCTCTGTTGATCAGTGCTTTGATTCTAGTTGAGAAGACAGTTTACTTAAAACTTGAGAGGCCCGTTTAGCATTGCCTGTTGCTTTTACTTCTCAAATCTATGTAGTACACTGGTTTGTAATCTTTACATTTTTGTTGAATCTGTCTTTGCTATTTCTCTTCCTCCTCAAGGAAATATATTGTCTTTATATCTTAAGAGAAAAGAGCAAAGAAGAAAATCTTATCCTCATTTTCTTTGAGTTGGAAACAAAAAATAAATAAAATGAAGGACTCCAACTATGATAGAATATAGACATTTAAATTTAAATAGATTAGTGGAGAAAGTTTTAAGAGTTTCGAAGTATTAGTTTTTGTCGTTAGAATCAGTTAAGAGACTGCTCCTTGTACTGGAGATACTAGCATATGTTTGTTATGTTACCTTAAAAATATCTTTTTATTTTATAAGGCCCATACATACTGATTAAATTCTTTTAAAAGTTGGGCTACTGTCATGGATGGTTGGTTTTACTGCCATCAGCCATGTTGATGCATTATAAATGGCATCCATATCTACTTATTTTAATGCTTAAAATTTTATTTAAAATGCTTTATTTAGAAAACCAACATAATGCAGTGGTGTCACCCTTGCCATGTACCAATCTCACTTGAAATTTGACACCAATTACAGTGGTTTAGGGTGGAGAAAGAAGTACTGGAAAGCATATGGATAAAGATATCTTTCTCTATTTGCAACAGTATCCTTTATGTGGGAGGAGAAGTTACTATTCCAAGGAAGGCAGCTTAAATGGATAATGTTTTGTATATCCTTGAGACTTTTCCTTACATTTTTTTTTAATTGTGTAATTGTTAAATGCCCAGTTTTGTGCTGTATTTGCCTGAAGTTTTAGTACTTGTTTTCTAGGTGGACTTCTAAAAACCAAACCAGTACTTTGGGAGGTTAGATGTGTATGTTTCCAGGCTTGATGTGTGTGAGTGATTTTGCTTGCCTTTTGGTTATATTTTCCTCCAGAGGTTTGGAACTTTAATCAATAATTGTGTGCGTTATTTAAAGAAAAAAGTGGCTTTGGGTTTTACTCAAGTAAAATTGTGAACACATTTGCTTTTCAAGGGCAGGGCATCAGTTCTAGAGATTGAACTATGTGCCTTGTAGATTGAACTATGTGCCTTGATGTGTTTCTGGACAAATTTTTTCCGACAACTTGAAAACTAAAAAGGGACATTTGGTTAAGTTATATACTGTACATCAATCTATGCATAAATGGCAGCTTGTTTTCTTGAGCCACTGTCTAAATTTTTTTCTTTTTTTTATAGAAATTTTTATACTGATTAATTCATAGCTGGTCAGTTTTATACACAGACTAAACAATACAGCACTTTGCCAAAAATAAGTGTAGCATTGCTTAAACATTGTGTATTAACACCAGTTCTTTGTAATTGGGTTCAGTGGTGCATTTTGCACTGCCTGGAGTTATGGTTTTTAATTTGTCAGTAAATAAAATGTCCTTTAATTTCACATTTGTCAGATTCTTTTATTTTTTCTGTATGATCGTTAGTGTTCAAACTAGATACATCTTACTTAAAATGTTTGCTGTTTAGTTTTACTAGTCCAAAGTATTTAGCATGCACTTTAAATACTTTTTAAAAAAACTTATGTAAAATTAGTATATGAAAATAACCATTTAAGTGAATGTGAATTTGAGGGTAACTTTCAGTCAGTACCTTTTCCTTCCAACAAATCTGTGTTAAAAAAAAATACACACACACACACACACACACACACACACACACACACACACACACACCAGGGGTGCCAAAAAAATGTATACACATGACTTGTATTCATCTTTTATTGGTATATATTGAGTATTACAATTTTAATACAGTTTTTTCCTTTTTTAAAATGTGTATACATTTTTTTGGCCGTGTGTGTGTGTGTGTGTGTGTGTGTGTGTGTGTATATGTATGTATTGGGTCAGGAAAGTCATGACGCATTTTTGCATTGAAAAACAGAAAAATACGTCATGACTTTCCCAACGATCCAATATATATATAATGTAATATATATAAATATATATAATGTAATATATAAATATATATTATGTAACATAATTTATATATACTTTAATATATATATATAATTTTATATATAATTTTATATAATTATATATAATTTATAATTTAGTATATGTTATATATCATATATATAATTTAATACACTGGTTCTTAGCCTTTTTATAGCTAGTGTGGTGAATTCTCAAAGGTTCTTTCCCAGATAAATACAGACACAATCTTTAAAAACATTTTAGGACAGTATGGACATCCCCGATGTCCATTAATGTCCCCTACTGTGGAGCTCTAGTTTAAATAGGCCGGTAAACATTCAGAATGCTTGAATGGGAAGTTCAAAGAATAACTCTCATGTTGATGAATCTTGGGGAAGATCAGCATTCTAGAACTATAACCTATTTCAAGACAGATTTCTATCTTTGAAACTCTCAGCTGAGATGACAAGACTGGGGGCAGAGGTAAGGAGGGGTCACCCCAAACATGAAAATAAAGTCATGAGTGGTGACTCAGGAAGGAGCAGCTTGAAATGGAAGAGCCTACCCTGCAATGGCAGGTGAATGGTTGCTCAAAGAAGAGTGTTTACCAGGCCTACTTACAAGATAACAGGGGTGGCTGGGGCATGTAGCAGCTCTGTCATGTCCCAAGGGTAATGACTGAATGGAGTATAAAAGGTGAGTCAGGAGTGAAGGTGGTCTGTGGGGATGGGCATGTCACAGTTTCACGGTTTGACATGTGGCCATCTAGCTCCTTTGTTTGAATTTGTACTGACCAGAAGGTTATTCATTGTAGCATTGTCTGTAAATGCAAAATACTGGAAACAATGTAAATGTTTATATATAGGAGAATGGTTGAAAATATCAAGGCACATCCACACAATGGAGGTCTATGCACATCAAAAGGAAAAACACATGAGGACAAGCTCTATAAATTGATTTAGCAATTTCTGAGACACATGAAAAAATGCAAAGGGTGAAGAGTGTCTGGAGTAAGATACCCTTCATGTAAAACAGAAGGGAATATAAGAAGCACACATTTACCTGCCCATTTGTACAAAATACAGTAAGAATAAACCAGAAACTAAAGAGATTGTTTACAAAGGATGGGTTAAAAAACAAAAGGAGGGCCGGCCGAGTGGCGCGATGGTTAAGAACT